CAAGCCGGCACTTTGCAGTTACTCGTGCCTGGTCACTTCAAACCCAACGAGACCATCAGTGTGGCTCAGGTGAGCGGTGGTTATTTCAGATCAAGCCGAATTTTCATCTAATATGAATAGGCTCAGTGTCTGGGCCGTCGGACATCGTGCAGATGGCACAGATTGATACTGAACATTCCAGTTTCGGGTTCATAACATGTATAAATTGTCGTGCGGAGATCATGCCATCATAAAGCTCATATCTTATCGACATGAAATAATCCAAGTTTAGACTACTAATCTGCATTTATCCTCGCATCGGATCCATGTTTCAGATTACGCGATTTTACATAATGCCCAATCTGTTATAGAAGTTCACCTTCCTTTTCGCGGCCATTCGTCCCTATCTGATCAACGTTTTACTACGCAATTGCAGATATTTTGAACAATACTGATTTTGCATAGGTCTTTTTCACTGGCTCACAGTTTATCACCAGTGGACTCTTCATGGTAGAAATTCAAACATCGAAGGTATGTTTCTCCTGCATGTTTCACCAAATGAAAAGCTTAAGCTTCGTTTGATTTTGTAAATCTTACAGATTCCTGGCACGTGTCAGGCCATTTTCACTCAAGCCAATCCAGGATATCCTCAGCAAAAGGACGAGCAGGATATTGAAATCCTCACTGGTCACTATACTATTGCCAGCGAGAACATACCCGCCGGTCTGCAACTCACCAACTGGGCCGCATTTCCCAAGAACGACTCAATGACAGAGAGAGCGGTAAGTGGCTGTATTCTGAGTTATCCTAAGCAAAACCAACGGCGTTTTTCCCGCTTACAGGTAACCAAGGTAGTTCCATACGAGTTTGATCCTACCGAGGACTTCCATTGGTTCGGCATAAAATGGGATCGTAAGACGACTATTTACACTTAAAGGACTGTTCTAGGATGACGTCAGCTCTGTTTACATGCGGATCAGATTGCATTCATCACACTCTATTGTTTTCTCCGTCAACCTTTTCTCCATTCGCGTTATTCTATATCGTTGTACGTACAGACATTGATTCAAATAAAAGCGATAGACACTTCAGCACGATGTGCAAGACACATACGATGGTCTATATGTTAAGATATATTCATGTGTAAGAAAATATTCAGACACACTAGTTAGTACTGATTAACAGTAAACAACCCTCCGTTATGTTCATTTTTATTCCAGTAATTACTTCCAGAGTTTTTATCTGACGACGTGATATGTGAGCAGTTAATATGGTTCCAAGACAGTTGAATTTGATAAATTTTCAAGTCAGAATCCAGCAAAATTTATTATCAACAATTGGTCCAATGGCAGTCCCAACTGGAGCGAGGGACCTCCAGTGGGAGACAATATCCTGAGAGTTAGACGATATAAGGCGTACTACAATGTGAAGAAGAATCACAGTTCAGCGCAAAAGCCTTTCCCACTGGCTTTCTTTTTGTATACTACAATATTCTTTTTCAGTTTTATTGTTAACTACAACGATGACATTGGTACTTCGATTTAATATGATGTCTAATCGCTTCATTCAAGCATGTTTGAAATTTAAGAAGAAAATAATTAAAATTTGAGAAGAGAAAAAACATACTGGGTATTTTCATCGGATTCGTCGCGTCGAGTCCTCTCGACCGGTGCCTTTTCCATCTCGATCAGATGGCATCATCACTCTTTTCCACGTTCTGATCGAAATTTTCGTGCGATGTAGTTTTATGATGCGTTTGAATACCATCACTCTACCTATTTGCTCTTCATCACATAAGCAAAAGTGAATGGAGTTTTGTTACTGATCGAAAAGAATTTCGACTAAAAATAAAAATAACTTCTTGGTCTGTTTAAGTATCCAAAAATATCGTTCGGCAGAGAATACATAACACGAATCATATGCTTTTCTTTATGACTTTCGGCGGAAATCAGACAATGGCAGTTAGTTGTCTCCGAGGAAGTGTTTTACTTCAACATTTCGAGTTATTGTTCTCAACGATGGTATTGAGGTTCCAAGAAAATGGAGTAGATCATACCTCTGTCACTCTACTAGGGATAAATGTAGATCTTGGATATGAGCATGAATGTTATCAATCGAAGGTACAAAGAAACAGATGTTTACATTTGGCCAATAAGAAATGACAGTGGGAAATCTGTACGGACAACCTACAGGAAGTAACCGGATACCTCCTATATCCAGATCAGGATATTGAAAAAAATTAATATCCCGATCGGGATATAAAACACAACGTTTCATCGTAAAAACGATTAAGGGAAAAATGACGACTTTATGGGAAAAAATTGGCCTCACGGTTAAAAAGAGGTCGAAAAACTACATCGGATTCTGTTGTGTTTGATTAAAGGGGTATCAAGCACCGAGCAACTATTTTTCGAATAAAAATTTTTATCAAGTTTTAATCGAATTTATACTTCGATCGAGAAATAGTCGGTTAACGTTTTCTTGCTCAGAATGCGATATACTCTTGATCTAATCACTTTCCATACCGACCATCTTTTTTTACGATGTACACGTATATTAAAACACACATTTCCTTTCTCATGCGTCGACAATTTATAAGTATACGTGCTTGGTGTTTAACGGAGAATTTTCCAGCTGCTAATTCGTGGAGATAAAGTGCCTTATATTTTTCGTAAGTGCATTACAACTGCTTACAACTCATTTATACTCATATTGCCTGGTAAGGCAATACCCCTTTCAAACTAACTACTATCGGAATTTTTAAAGAAGGCCGGTGGAAGAAAAGCTTATAACGTTTGAATGGAAAGTCGTGGATACCTGCGGTTTTCACCATTCAATAGACGACAGTCGGGAGCACATACCAGCATGGAAAAGTGATATTCCTAGGTACTTTTTCAGACCAGTTTTTGTCTACGAAATTAAGGGCAAATTATTGAATCTTTTCGATGAAATTTTTTTAGCCAGTTTTGCACCCCGACATGCCCTCTTCACATTGGTATCTAAGCAATTTCTAGATTTAGTCTCCTTGAAAGACCCGAAGTCTTATAAAAGACGAATTTCACGTGGGACATTTTTCGCTGAAAAACAAAAAATTACTCCGAAGATAGGTTTTCGATGATGCTAATCAGCATGAAAGGCCTTATTCTCTTTAAGATTCCATCAGTTGATATTTGGTCGTGTGCTGAAGAACACAATATGGATTCAACGCATTTTTTTTCGTGGTTAGATTCAACTTGTGCAACATTAAGAGAGGAGATTGGTGAGTTAACAAATTCTCAGTCGAATTTTCCACGAATGATATTTCACACTTTTTTCATAGGTGAAAAGAAAAGAATTGCTATTTGTTTGGACAACGCAACATGGCACAACAAACTCACAGAAGAATCAATCATTCCAAAGCGTTCTTCAACAAAAGGAGAAATTCAAAAGTGGCTTCGAGATCGAAAAATTCAATTTCCAGAAAAATTTGTTAAAGCTCAATTGTTACAGCTTGTATGTACAAACTGTCTACCTAAAGAATATATGGTGAGTCACCTTTTTAAGCGCTGTTTTGAGTTATTCTAACCCTGCTTTTCCTCTTTGTTTTGTTGAATAGAGCGATCGAATTGGAAAGAAATACGCAGTAGAAATCATTCGTCTTCCAAAACTACACTGTAGTCTTAATCCAATTGACTTGTCATGGAATAATCTTAAACAGTTTGTACGTGATCAAAATACAACATTTCGTCAAGATGATGTAAAACAATTGATTGAACAGTTTATGGATGATAAACTTGCAAGTTCATATTTTCATCATGTTTATAAAGTCGAAGAGATGTATAAAACAGCAGATGAAATAATGGAAGAAGAAATCGAACCACATTTACAATCGGATAATGAAGAAACAGGTTCTGATGATGATGAAGAAAATGTGGAGCAATAGTTATTTTTGTATTTGTACTTTTTTTTCAAAATTTAGTTTATTTTTGGAGCAAGTAATGCAAGTTCTGTTATTCTAAAAGACTGATGAAAAAAGAAAGACGATAGAATCAAGTAGACCGTAAGGAACGCAGATTTT